ACATTTGCAGCACTTTTGCGCAGGGGTAGCGTATCGGGCTACCTATTTTGTTCAACAAGGAAAACTGATTGCGCCTCAGGTGTTTACATGCCCTGTATTCTAGATTCAAAATTAACAACAGCAGAAGTAAAACTGTGTTACTGTATATTAAGTTACGAAAATCATTTCATCTCCCGCCTCAATCATATCGAAACCTAAATACTCGTGATGCCATTCTCTTAAACGAGGTAAGCTACGTCAACACTTATAAGTCCACATCCAACATAGCATAAAGATGGTACTCTATTAATCACAAAGGACTTATTTGATTGGCTTAAATCATCGATAAAGAAGTCAGCAGTTATCATACAAAATAAATATGAGTAGTGTCGACAGCCGTAGCACTGAATTGCTCTTCTTTAATTTTAATCAAGAAGCCTCGTACGTGTGCACGGTTTGTACTTAGCTTTGTACACCTGAAGAATCCCGTCTCCATTTACGAATCGATATTTGTATCAGATGCATCAGCGTGGGCACGCGTCAAAGTTTTGCTATCTACAACTGTGAACCATTTGGTAAATGTTTTCAAGAAGATATTGGAGGCATTGGTATCGCTGAGATGCTATACTGTACAAGTTTAGTGGCCTTAGTGGGTGCAGGGGAGCAGGTTCATGCTTCATTACATAACGGACAAAAAGTTCCAGCTAAATTTTTGCTGCTTGTGCTTTAATGTCTGCTTAGCCTGCATTCTCCCCGCGTCGGCTGCGTGTGTGGAATACCAAAACAAGGGCTGCCATTTGTGATCTTAATTTTATCACAGCCGTATTGGCCGTACGCATGAATCGACAAAGGTAATGGCTTTGAAATCACAGAGATGCCGAACCTGACATTGTGTTCGTATTGTAAAATTTACAGATTGGTGACGGTGTTGGAGCGCAAGATTTACATATTTGACATAAGCACCATGAAAGTATTAGAGACTCTTGATACATCACCGAATCCAAAAGCACTTTGTGTGCTCTCTCCACACGATAATGGTCATCTTGCCTTTCCTTCGGGTGCTTCACCTGGGGAAATTGTACTATATGATGCCAATAACTTGAGTGTGTTAAATGCTTTTCAAGCTCATCGTACAGCGCCGGTGGCCATGTCATTCAATTCTTCGGGCACATTACTCGCAACTGCCTCTGAATCGGTGCGATAAGATTTCGACTAATTTATTCATGCTCAATTTGTGCTGACTGGTGAGATCGATACAGGGTACATTGATTCGTGTATTTGATATTCCAAGCGGTAAAAAGATCGCTGCATTTCGACGTGGTTCTTATGGTGCCCAGATTTACTGCTTAGCCTTTAACGAGAACTCCACTATCTTGTGTGCATCAAGTGAAACTGGTACCATTCATTTCTTCTCGCTAACTGGAGCTGAGAGCTCTGCAACAGGAAGTTTTGGTCATTTCACACCCATTACATCAACCCTTGCAGTTGCTGGAAACACTTTTGGCTCTACTGTTTTTGGAAGTGGCACCACACCACCAAGTCCATTTGCCTTCACAACGCTGGGGTCGGCACCTGATAAAGTCACTGCATCGAATATTCCTAGCTCAGTGAAAAGCTCCGCGGGCAACAACTTGGATGATGTAGCTGGTGCTGTGAGCGCCTATTTACCAAGTTCTTTGTCAGGTATTGCTGAAGGAACTCGTGACTTTGCTTATGTACGATCATTTTTTTCTATGCAAATTTCTTGAAATCAATCGAGCAATATTCACCATTTTGTACAGGCTCGGCTTCGCTCAACTGGAGTGCCAAACAAATGTGCCATTCATGGCCCACGAGATGCCACCAAGCCAATTGTGCAGCTTTATGTGGCAACCACAGACGGTTTTTTCTATGAATATTCGCTTGACCTTGCAGTAGGAGGAAAGTGCAAGCTACAACGGGTACATGACCAGTCATTCATGGATTTTTGCATACATTGAGATTGTTGAGTAACATAGTTATCCTCATGTTTAGGAAAATGTACTTCGTGACAGCACATCGGAAGAAATTGAAGCGATTTACATTTCATAATGTTTCCACTTAATGTACTGAGTTTGCCTGATTATGTTTACAAGGAAAAGAAAGGTAATGTACAAATGTCAGTCAACTCACGTTCGTTGTTGCTAGTCGGTGCTTTCTAGATAATTCTGAGTTTAAATTGTGAGACGTAACTATTGCTGAGCCGAAACTTTAATATAATCACAGCAGACGTATTCATGCACCCGAAGAATATCTCGAGCTTAAATCAGCCTCTCAAATTCGATACCCTGGACAGTGAATCCTCGTAAAGACCTGTGCACAGCCGCAGCAAATTGTTTCGGATCGTTGCGAAATAGTTCTGCAGCTTCTACTCTCGTAATAATCAGAATTATCATCATACAAGTCATACAACTTTTCTCATTCGACAGGAAACTGTAGTGCCACGAACCTTTATTGAGTGGGTCGTCCGGATTAGGCTCGTAAAACAAATAAATTAGGCCGTAGATGACCGAATTGATGTCTAAAACAGGTTTCCAATCTTCGCGTAATATATTTAGGCAAACATTACCGTCAAGGTCAATGTTCGGGTGATAAATCTACAAGGCATATAATTAGCGTATAGCACAGTGTACCAAAACATATACGAGCCAAGTTCAAGCATACCTTTGTCAAGCATCGCACTTTCGGTGGATCATGAGGATACATCTGGAAATGTAGACGGAATAAGTGCATCAAAACTTTATATGCAGCTACATATCTGGCTGACTAACCTACCGGAGGAATTTTAAAGCTGAAATCATAGGACGCGCCTTTCCAAAGTCCCGTATCCACTGCAATCTACTCATAAAGCTTAGCTATCATTTAGCATAAACTTTAGCAGAGCTCTCTCGCACCTTCACATTAAACATCGTGAGGTCATTCACTTCTGGAAAAGCGACGGTCGCTGCTTTTCCACCATCCAGCTCTGCAATGTCTTTAATAAAGAAGAAAATGTCACTATCACTGAGCTAACGCTTTGCCCACTGTCACTTTAGTTCTATCAAATCACCTTTTTGAATGCGAATCTCGCCGGGGGTACGCTTCTTCTCCTTACTCGTACCGCCGCGTTTACCGCGACCAACGCCAAGTATTTTTGTCTTTGGTTTACTGAAAGGAACACTTTCACGTGGCTCGGAAGCAGCTGCGGCTTCCTCCTCCTCAGCCTTCTTTTCTGCTTGCTTAGCTTTAAGGCGGATCATTGAATATTGTAATGATTATACAGATAACCCTACGTAAGTGCACCACATAATTGGGTTTATTATTTCAGTCTGATGAACAAAGCCTCGTTAACTAACGTCATAGCTTAGCATTCAAAATCTGCTGTAGCTGTGGTGTGACTTTATCGTCATCAGGATCCGTGGCATGACTGAAGTCCGTAATTGAGGAAAATTTAGCTTGCACAGCCTCGGGTGTAATCTCCTTCTCCAAGTCGAAAAACACACCAGCACTGCGCACATACTTGACCTGTGCGACAAATCCACCACCGCTTTCGAAAATTTTGCCCGAGCATGGGACTGACTCATGGCACAAAAACGCGACCGTTGGGGCTACATACTCGGGTTTCCATTTGGCAACAAGTTCTGCGGGCAAGATAGACTCGGTCATCTTCGACCCAGCACCTGGGGCCACGATATTCACCTTGATGTTTGACCGTGCACCTTCCTTGGCAAGTGCTTTGCCAAACCCAGTCATTGCAGCCTTCATGGAACAGTAATTGACCTGGCCAAACTGACCATACAGACCATTTACCGACGTGATTACAATAATGCGACCATATTTTTGTTTACGCATGTAAGGCCACGCCGCATGAGTCACGGCAAACGCTGCATGATGATCATGCATAATTGTTAACATTTCACCAGCTGACAAAAAGAAACTTACTTCCTTGAAGATGCACGTCGAGCACTTGATTCCAGTGAGCCTTAGTCATCTTAGCAAAAGAAACATCACGAAGGATACCAGCATTGTTCACGAGTATGTCCACGCGGCCAAAATTATCGATAGCAGTCGCTACAACTTTATCACCATCCATCACCGAATTGTAGTCTGCGACCGCTGCACCACCTGATTGCACAAAAAATAGCAGCCAAGCATTACTTGTTCAAGATGGCCAAATACTTTACTTTCTTGAATATTATGCTTACGAACCCTTGGCCTTGATCTCGATGATGACTGAGTCTGCTGCTTCCCGATTACAATCATTTACCACACTATCTTGCATCACGGGAAAGTGTTGAATGAACAGGGGCATGTGATTAGTGTAAACAAATAAAGCGTACACTTTAGCACCGCGCTCAGCAAAAAGAAGAGCATAGCATCGACCTATGCCGGCGCCGGAGCCTGTGACAATGGCGACCTGGCTATCAAAGCGCAGCATGTTGAGGAAAAGAAGATTATCATCAAATTTACATTAGTATTATAACAACGAGTCTCAAATTATTGTGGGTTTGGAGTAAAAAATTCTTAACAGTCAAAATATTCATCTGATGTATGTGTACCATAATTCTTCTAAGTCTTCTTGAAATAGTTGGAAAATCGGACTACATTCGGTAATCGGGCTTTTATTCACCAGGATTGATAGTTATTTCATCGAGGCAGTCGTCGAGCTCCTCCATGTTGAACGGGTTGGTCTCACTTTCGGTCTTTTTAGTCTCCCGAGCCGCGAGAAATATCTCTTCGTAGACATCGTGGCGGGCAATATGCCAGTTGTGGGCATTGTCGAGGAAGCCTGCAGCAGCGATGAATGTAAACGGTTGCTGAACCCTCCTTGCGCCACGCACGATAGCCCTGTCACTAAAACAATGACCTCAGAAGGACGAGGATTATCAAGCTTTGGGTACGAGACTCGATCGCTTACCTTCCACGCGTTGTTTTCAGCTCTTTGAGCTTTCTGTAAATAGCAACAACACCGGCCTGTAGTTGGGTTGCTAGTCCGCAAGGAACAACACACATTCCAAACTTACGCGTCCGACACTTGTCCTTGACCTCCGTGTAGATGTCGGTTCACACCGAGTCCAATACGAGATAGCCTCTCCTACTGGTGTCAAGCAGAGAGAGCTGAAGAATTATCCATCGCTTTATCGCTGCGCTGTCTACCCATGCTTGCGGGGATTTGTGACCTAGACACCGTTGATGTCATCTCTCGATTCATGATGCTTTGCCTTCTTGAGAGCTCTTGACATAAACGCTTTGGTCCGCGCCGTAGCTCTTGAAACCATTCGCCACAGAGACACGATGTATTGTTTTGTTCCAAGCCTTTGCTGCGTGCCTCAATCCGTAAATAGCCTTGATCAGCTGACACACGTAATCTTGAGCGTTGTCGACACCAAGGGGGACTTCCATAAAAACGTTGTCCGTCAACACGCTGTTGAGAAAAGCCGAGTCGACATCCAGCTGTTCCATTTGATAGTCGCATTCCGCGCATAAGTGAAATTTCCGGATCGAATCCATGCTGGCAACCGAGGAATAAGTCTCAAAAATATCGACGCCATACTTCTGCTTGAAGCCTTTTGCGACAAGCCCCTCCTTGTACCGCACGATAACGCCATTCTGATTACGTTTCTTCGCAAAACCTCATCGTGTACCGATTGTGCGACTGATCTTTTCTCGTGGGATGAATATCCACGTTCGATTTTCTTCATGAGAGCAAAGTTCAGTGTTTATCCACTATCCTGCATCGTCGCTTGCCATTGCTTGAGCATACGTAGTCGGTAAGGCGGTTTCGTCGTTAATGCTCACGGCGTGGGCAAGAGCAGCTTCTATAATGAGTCCATCTTCAACAATTCGAGCACGCTTTAAAGCATCACTGCCTTCTTAGCTCTTCATCATCTGAACCGTTCATCAACATCAGCACCGGCTCAAGTCTTCCTTTTGTTCTCTCTACCTTGGGTTGAAGCACAAAACGATTTCCTTGATTCACTTGAGATGGGACGCGATGGCATTGAAAATGCCAACTACGGATTCGAATCATGCGACTTACAACGCGAATCATGATGAAATAACACTTGCTTTAATGAAGCCTGCAGTGAAATTTGTAAAATATATCTATGTTGTACGTTGTCTCGTCCTAGGTCCGTATCCAAGATACGTACTCTTCTAAGGTGAGGTTTATTTTAAGCACCATGAGCAATGGATCGAATTCAAGCTGAGTGCATTCATTGCCACGCACTTTCTCCTACAATATTTCAATAGTTTATAAGTTTAGCTCTTGGGGAAACAAAATCGCTCTTGGTGTAGAGGTTAAGCTGCAATAGCCTCGTTGAAGGACATATGAGTGTCTAAAAGTCTAGCAAAGATATCTTTCAGCGCCTTGAGCTACAGGGTTAATATGTGAATCGTATATATAAAAACGGCTTGAGAGACAGAAGCGGCAATTTGCCTCAAGGTGAGCGGAACACATGATGATATATCGTGGACTCCGAGGATAATATCTAACGAGAGTCACCAGATTATATCTCTGAGAAAACATCAAAAGAAGACCCAAAACGTTTTCTGGTTTGATGGAAATACCATTATGCTTATTGGTCATGATCAAGATGTGTGCCATAGCAGTGACCTGGCTTCAAAGACGGTCACATGTTAGCCCTTCTTACCAGACAAAATATGAGACGCCATACATGCATTTTTCTATCTGGTGTAAAGTGATTCATCCGGCATAAAGTGATTCCGGCGAAAATTTGTAAATCTCTACTCGGCACCGACATTTTTTTGTTAAAAAAGCTAACGCCAAGTGACAAATTGTCAATGATTTTAGTCAAGCTAAATGCAGCCAAAAATAAGTCCCCAACACCGATCCTTAGAACAGACGTGCTGCTGAAAAACTCGATCGGCTGCATACGTTCAGATCCCCTATTGAGTTGGTAATATTTATCAAGTTCATTCAAATGACTGTAACAGTTCTTTCAGTGCGGTGGGTACTTTGCGCGGTGTGGATCAAGATATTCTTATAGTTTTCAACGCACCAGTTATGACCAACGTAGAGGACGTCAGATGATGGGATGCAGCAAACGATACTTCTTTCGAGGATGCGAACAATGTGCTCCGTTATCGGTCATTTCAAACCGAGTTATTTATTTTTGTTGTTTATGATGCTTCAGCCATTTTTATAGGCTGTGCTGTATTCTTCATTAATGCCGATGGGCGTGAAGGCGTTGTTGCTATCAGGTCTCGCCAGCTTAAGGCGATGGAGTATGCACTTGTCATGATAGTGGCCCATTTTCTTGACTCAAATCCGTTTGGAATTTCATGGTTTCCGATTCGCACATCAATGTCGTCACCACATCTCGCAAACAATGCCAGAATTTTTACGTATACATCAACGGTGGAATATATAAGCCGAGTCAGACCAATGTGGTAGCGGGCTGCCTGTGCGTCCTCGTGTCTATGAAATGTCGTATACCACAAATTGATGAGGAAATGTGCAACGGGGGTTACACGTACCCCGGTAACAGTGGTATGTGTCACACGAGATAGACATGGTGTGACCACATCCAAACAGGAATTCGGTATGGGGCTAGGTAGCCAGTAGTTATGCATGTATTTGGATTTTACTATATATATTTAGGAAAATTTAAACATTTAAAATTAGGCGGCTTTGCCACAGATAAAATAAAATAAATTAAAGTCAGCTTTAAATTAAAATCGATGAGTTTAGCCTTGGTTAAGGTACTAACTACTCTTGGAGGAAGCGGATTGCGATCCACTACACTCGTATTGATTCTTGTAAAGAACGAACGGTCGGTGACCTACATTACGCTTCCTCAAGCGCTAAGCTACGGAAGCCCCGCTACTCAATGCGCACGCCCAACGGGTCAGAAGCAATTGTTCGCTTCGCTGTAAACTAAAATAGATTTAAGGTTTTTATTCAGCTACCATGTTTCAAAAGTGTTTGCATATACATTTGCACGTCTACTTTACTCAGGGCTCGCTGTTTTTCAGTATTGCCCCCACGTCTAATGGAAAGGCATAGTGAGGAAATCCAAATTTTAATACATTTTTTAAAGCACGTGTTTACGTAATCTTGGTTGAGAAATAAGAAGCTGTTCGTACAGTGCTTTTTTCTGGTGACCTAGTATGTAACCAACGCGAGGAGTGGAAAAATGAATTCGCTGACGCCTGCTTTCAGTCCGCTGATTTCGGATAAGTGTTGACGATATAAGCTTATATTTCTGTATGCTGAGAGATGCATCAGAAAACGGCGGTGTAGATGTTATGGAGCGTCGAAAAGGCTCATCTCGCAATTGTCGACGGCACTAACACCGTTAAAAATACAGCCAAGAATTCTCCGACAGATTTTTCAATGGCAAATGCTTTATATCGACATCTGCGCTCTACAGCATTACCCGGAACATGCTTTCTACATCTTGATATACACGCTTGCTGAAACTCTCGACGAAAGCTGACGTGCATTTATAGTCAGATAGTTCACAAGAGCTAGCCGTGGGAAGGTCAGTCTCGAGTCGATGAGCGAGGGATGGCGAACATCCACGTCGAGCGGATAGTGGACTGCCGGGTACACCAGGGCTGTTTCCAGGGTCTAAACGTCCATGTAAGGGTACCCGTGCGGTAAGAGCGCGTCGGTGATATATTCTCATCCTGGGCTCAAATGAGGGGTATGTAAGGAATGAGAACTGTATCAACTCTTGGATTGAAGCATATGTATCCGATCTCTGTCTTTGAGTCAAAGCTTGATCTTCGCAATGGACACGGTATTTCTTTCGCTGTAAGTGTTTTAGTCTTTTAAATACACGTTTGGGGTGCGTCGTCATAGGCAGCTCATACAATGAATCGACTTGTCATAAATCAGATATAAATATATTGTAGGAGGATGAGCTTCTTACAAGATTCTACTGTGATCTGTTATGTCATTTGTTTGATGTTTGATAAGGTATTTGTAGTACCTTTTATTTTCAATAGTGTTGAATAATGTCGAGGTAATTTGAATAGTGTAAAAATATGTCAAGGAATAGTCCATATATGCAACATTTAAATAGTAGCAGATTCTGACGGGAGTCAAAATTACGCACACATCGTGCTATTGTTGAATCTGTAGTTGTAGTGCTCATTTGAACAGGAAGTATTGTTGACGACATCATCGAAATTGGATGACTCGCCCTTTGATGAATTAACAAGTCATTGTCCTTAGTGAAGCTCATGTGTTAAATCGGGGATCAAATAGAACAAAATAAGCTCAGCCGCTTGACGGGGACATCAAAAATGGTTTCGTATCGCCGTTTGTCAGAGTTTTGGTACACAGTATTTTTCTGGAGATACTGCGACGTAAGTCGCGTTCGAAAGTTATGAGATAGATTCGGTGTGTTGTAAACTGAACCGGACTGAGAGGCCTTCTCCTCTCGACCGTTACCTTTGTGAGGTGCATCGTGTACCCACATCAACACCTCGATGACCATAAGTACAGGGCTTGCCATCCAACAGTTATTGACGCTTAGGCTGGAAGAGGGTCGTTTCAATTATCGATTCTTACTAGAGGAAGCGAGCAACATGGCGAGCCAAGCGACGATTTCAGACAATGAGGAGGTCAAGACGAGAAGTGCGAGGAGACAGAAGCCACGCAGTCTGAAACTCAATGTTAAAATGAGCTGATGAAAGATTCTTGAAGATGGTACTATTTTATGAAAAGAAGAAATATTTAATCAAATAAAGAAATATTTAATCAAAACAAAAGAAATAAAACTGAAAGATCAAAAATGCTCTAAAGTTATCACTATGACTTCTTTATGAAATTTGGTCCAAGAAACTATTGATTTAGTTTGGTGGTTGTGCAGATACTTGGTGGTGCGATGGCTGCAAATTCATCGGTAGATCCAAGTTTCTTTTTTTGATTAAAATTTGACCCCCATATAATTGTCGATACAAATCGACATAGTGATCGTACTGGCGATAAAGAACCTCAGGAAGCCGTTGCAAGAGTTTCACAGCCTTTTGTTCATCTTTTGTCCGTCCCACCATATCCGCAGTGTGAGGCGACAACAACTTGTACAGTCTCGTCACTATCCTATTAATGGTGTTGGAAGCATTATCCAATACTTCGAGGTACATGTAGGGATGGACCTTTGCATTTAACATATTTCCATAACCATTAGGTCCCGCTGCAAGTTTTCTGCACATCCCGCAGTTTATCAGGATTCAGTGATTCTACGGGACGTACAATCACAACGTTTGCAGTAATAGGTCGGATTCGTTCTTCATTAGCTGATTGAGTACGGTCCTGAATCATAGGCGTTCTCTCGCTTAACGAAGCCGCCAATGCTGGCGAGTGTATTCGCTGGTTATCCACGTTCATATCACGACAAGGACCTGAATAGGCCATCGTGATATTAGTGAGACAGTTGGCCGCCTGGAAGATGCACGCGTTGACGTAAGTTTTGTTATCGAAACCGCACACAGGAGCGTCATCTTCATTGCAGAGTGCGTCAGTGCACGGCAAAGCATTGGGATGAGAAACGATAGCGTTTTCGTGATGATTATCGACAACAGAGGCAGTAGCACATGATGACGTGACAGTCACAGCAACTAATCCAAACGTGACAGAAAGCTTCATGGTCAACTTTGTTGGAGGTGAGAAATTTTAGGAATGAAGGCCTTAGACGGGAAAATGTCAAATGGAATCAGCCATCCATGTTAAACTGCGAAACTTTGTTGCTCAGTTTACAGATTCTTAAGGATCGGTTTGGAACATCATCTGAGATAAGCACCTTGCAATGAGCAGTACTCTTGAAAGAGGCAGATAATCAAATTAGCACACTCGTGTTCATAAGTTGTACCCGTAAGGATGATCAAAGCACATCCATCGCCTGTGTATATCACGGAACGTTTAAACTTTGCACTTCGATGCCAATTTTGAACGCACGCTGCAAAACTTTACTGCCATATAAGCTGCTTTCAGTGCTACAATGAGAACAGACGTTTATTCTTGTCGTCTCTAACATTTACATGTAATTTGCCTCGTGCCGTTATAACACATACTAATTTTTAAAGAGAGCCAGAGGAAAAGATAGTGCGCAAGGATTCTTGGGATGTGAATCTTCTGGTCCGGTTCGAAACTATCAGATACAGCAAGAAAAGTAACACTGAGATATCTTTAAGCACAATAAATGGTAAGTTCTCGATGCTCTTTGTCTGTTGGTACGAGTAATGGCGATTTTTTATTCATGTCAGCTTCGACGCGCTACGTCGCAAGCCCACGCCAGTTAAAAAAGTATAGAATAACGAGGATCTAGAAGAGATCAAAGAGGCTTTCCGGCTCTTTGATACAGTTCCTTCTAGTACCATCGACATACGGGAACCTGAAGCTGCTATGCGGGCGCTCGGATGTCAAGTCAATTCGTCAGAAGGTTATTGACATTGGCAAGGATGAGTCAAAGACAATCATTTAAATGGATGATAAGCTGCGGATACAGCTAACGCCCAAACGTTCGTCACGCTACCGATTGAAGCTTTGACAGCGCAGTGCGATATCACGGCGGCACTCGAATCATCGACGGGTAAAATAGTACGTTTAAAAAGAAAGAGTCTGCTTGACGAAGCTAAACTTGTCTTTGAACGGAAAACACGATCTTCCAGCTTTTTAACGATGATAACACGGGCAAGTTTGTTAAAGCGTGTGTGTGTGCAGAACTAGGCGAAACTTTGACGTATGAAGAAATGCATGATAAAATTGATGAAGCAGATCGCGATGAAGACGTACTGATTTACGAAGAGGAGTTCTGTCGCGTAATGAAAAAGCGTAGTGGAATCCACTGAACGATCTTAGCGATGTCGATAGCTGTTGTAAGAATACATTTTACAGCAGAATGTAATCGATTAAGATACTATTTTGTAGACAGAATAGTAATGATCTCAGTGCCCGTAATTTACGTTATAGTTTCTCTCACATCGCTGACTGCAATCCTTGCTATACCACCTGTTACTTGGATCAGATTAAGCAAAATGCTTGTGATGTGTGTGGATGGAATCCCGTGTGGATTATCCACAAATCGCGTGAATCTTTTTTCTCGTGTGGATCATCCCCAGATCGTGTGAATCATTTCCTCCGCTATCTCTCTCTCTTCATCCCTAAATCGTGTGTTTCATCCCCCCTTGGTGGATCATATCCCTGTGAGTGCCACACACACACACAGGTGTGGATGGTGTTCGGTGTAGATCATCCTTTTTGCTGCAAAACGTAACTTCTTGCACATTGCCGCAGCATTTCAACAAACCACCTTAATGAATTCTCATCTTCGGCCTCTTCATCCCACAGAGGTTACCCTGAACCATTATGCTCTGTGGTGAAGACCAAAATTAGCCAAAATTGCCATATAATGTCCGAACTGAGTAAAAACGATGCACCCATTTTGTGGCATAGATCACGCTTGTGTAAGCAGTCAAGTAGAAATTAGTTCTGGTAGTAACACCGAACGATAAGGATGCAGCGCGTTGCCACCTCTCCAATCCCGCACTCACCCTGTTGATCCATGGACTTTAGATCATGGAATGTAAAGTGCAGCTCATGTCAATATCCATACCAACATCAACCAAAATTGATTTTTCAGCTCTGCAGCGCTTCAAGGCTTTACGCTAGCACTTGGAATGTAAAAGAGACCTGTAATTTCTATTTAATTATTGTATAATGATTTGAGCAGCGGCACTTTAAAAATGTTGCAGATTGACCACAGCACAGGACGAACGGGGTGGGATGACCTAGATGGGGGATGATGCACAATGGGAGATGATCCACAATGGAAAGATCTTCCACACTCATGGTGTGTGTGCCATAGGATTTGGGGATGACACACATGAGGGTACAACGCGTATGTCAGTTGAACAGATTTATATTTCTATAATTTTGCTCAACTTTATGTCCTCTACGACTACATTGTTGATTTCACCTTTTTTGCACTGTAAAAGGTAAATTTTCAATTGATCGCTGATTGCCATATCACGATCTAAATTTTCGACCTATTTTTGCAGCTTGATTTTACTGTGCATACCCAATTTCTTCATGTGCCAGGTATTGTAAGAAAACAAACTCAAGTGATGCTTTAGATACACTACCAGGCTAGCATAGCCGTCGTCTTGTCCAAAAATCCATAGCTGTTAGTTATTCAACTCTTACAGATTATAATTGAATTGGCTAGAAGTGATTTAAAATAGCATATTACTGACTGCTGTAGTTGCAACAGCAATGTTGTCGAGTGCCATTACGAGAATTTTCAACGAGAAAGTGCAGCACGATGTTAAGAGAATTGCCCGTCCGTGTATTAAGGAAGGATTGAGTCGACAGACACGCTTAACCGCGTGTTGCTTGCTTCCAGCGGGCCGTTGACTAAAGTAAAGAGGAAGTTAGGTGAAATGATTTTTATTAATAGTCAATAGGCTTTATAACCTTTTGTTCTGATACAACAAAGCTGAATGGGAAATACAATAATACAGGGTGTATATAGACAAAGTATGCAGTCCACACAAATATGTAATAGGACCTAGCCCATTGCACCACTCCCTACTCAAAAGTGGATTTGCAAAAATTCTTTAAATTTTCTTCAGAATTTTTTCAAATGCTTCTTTCGCTCTTCGTCACACTCTGTCAAACTCTTCCCATAATTGAAACCCGCACGCTTGCTTCAAATGAGATCTTTGTTACCATTGAACTTGGATACTGTTCCAATACCAGTCATTCAGCGCATTTGCACTATTGTGAACTTGATCGTCAGAATCACTTTCACGATAGACGAGGTGGTTTCACCCTACAGTATGACGAACTCTTTAGTCGAATGGATGCCCAACGGAGGATTCGAGTCGCATATTCGCACCATCAGACCGATTACTCCTGATGGAGGTGAACCATGAAGACTCGAATATGTTATACGTCCAGCGATCCAATATCGCGCAGAAAAGCATCATCATGTTTCCTCTCCACACAATCGACACTCGATATTGGGCATGAGTTTGGGAGGCCGCAATTTGCCGAGCCCCCCCCACTCAGATCAGAGACACAACCCATCGCACAACGCGGTACTTGCGGGTTTCACAAGCCAACCATAAAAATTGCGTAAATCCATGGATGAATGAATTGAATTGTTCATTGCCAGCTCTACTAATGGTAACAACGAGCTATAATTTGCGGTATTTTTCGCACAGAAGCGTCTCAAGACATCGCCGACCACGTTCAGTTTGCCCACTTAAAGTGACTGGTTACGCCCCAGGGGGGGTCATTCAACTGTCCGATGACGTGTATGTCAAGGCCGCATAAGCATACTTATATACTTATATCGATTATCTATTTGCATACAACCTTGATAAGTAATCAGACTGGATATGGGACTCCCCATCGACCAATTCTAAGCAGTGTTCGAGCGTATGCGCTCTCGTAGACAAATGAGGAGCGATGCAAGCCATTTTGCTGAGTATGTCAACAATGGAGAAGGCCCATTTTGACCATCAGCAGTTTCAGAAAAGCTGAAAACAAAGTTGAAACCTACTGACTTCCAACAATCAGTAGGAACTGGACGTTTCCTCAGTGGTACTACCGTGTGACGTGTGTTCTTCACTCGCTGACAGAAATCACATGTCTCCACGTAAAGTGTCACCTTCTTGTACATGTGGAGCCACCAAAATTTGTCACTGAAAGACTAGTAGGGTTTCTCACAGTCAAAGGGACCGGTCATCGGCGTACCATGCGCCTCGTACACTATCTTGTACCTCAAATCATCGTTGAGGGGAACCTCTATCCGTGGCTCGTAGTCATGTGCAAATTCATAGTCAAGAAGACTATCCTTTCATGCACATTAATGTAATGTTGAAACTAAACGACCATGTCGCTTGTCATAGAATCAGACATCATTCGATGTTAGTACTCTGATGATCAGATCACACTGGTCACCCTCAACATACGCTCGACGTATCATATCGAATACATCGCTTTCGATATAGCTGATACGAGCTAGCTTATAATCAGGACGACGTGACAATGCGTCTGCCAGCATGTTCAGTTTTCCTGGCTTGTACGCAACCGTGAAGTTGTATTCTGCGAGGAATGACAATCAGCGAGCCATAAGCTGTGACAAGTGAAACGACTGAACTGCATAACGTAAGCATGCAAGATCGATGTATTCGATAAGCGGACTTGAACCCAAGAGGTGAACAGGATACTTCACGAGAGCATAATTCATTGCCAAAGCTTCTTGTCGTGGACAATGTACTTCGTTTGTGCCGGCTGGCTTCAGCTGTCGCGATGGCAACGGCAAGACACGATTGTGTCCTTCTGAGTGCTATAAAAATATGCACAACCGATTGCAAACTCAGAAGCATCACACACCACACTATATGACTTCGTATTATCAGGTAAAGCAAGGAATGGTGCTTTCATCAAGTTATTTTTTATTTGAGTGAATATTTCATCACAAGCGGACGACCACTCCCATGGTATGTCTTTCTTAAGCAAGTTTGATAGTGAGCGTGCCATTTCCGCGTAGTTACGCGGGAAGCGATGCAGGTAGTTGAACAAACTGATTTATTCCCTTAAATCCTTTTGACTCGTGGCGCCAGCCACTCCACGATTGCTTTGAGCTTCTCTGGGTCTACACGAACACCGTTATCACCGACGTAACAACCGAGGACCGGTACTTCGTTAGCAGCAAAAACACACTTTGCAAGATTTGGTTGCATTGAATATTCTCGCATAAAATGCAGCACAACACGGAGGTGCTCAAAGTGCGTTTCTTCTGCCGTCGAATGAGCAAAAATATCGTTAAAGTATGTTTGGGCAAACCGACGTAGTGCTTAAAATAGATATGAGACCAATCGATTGAATATTGCTGGGGCATTGGGTAGTTCTTGTGGCATCACAAGCCAATCTTATAACATACCAGACGGTGTATTAATAGCAGTCAAAGAGACCTCTTCCGTCCTCATCAGAATTTGGTAATATCCATCGACCAGATCAAGTTCACTATATTGTGCACAGCCGGACATCCGGTGCATGACGACATGTTTACGCGAAATCGGCGTTTGCGCACAAGCCACCTGCGCATTCAACTTGTTGTAGGCATGAACGGTACGCTATATATCATTTGGTTTGCACGCACAAAAAGTCGGTGCCTTGTGGGGATTGGCCTTCTCTCGCGAAACCAGCAGCTTCCTTATGAGTATAGAACTCATCGATATATGACTTTATTTTCACGACAGTGGTCACTGTCGAAGTACTGCATCTTTTGAGCAAGTCGAGTTCAATTTCGCTTCAAACTGTACGTTCGGGTGAAAGACCAACGGGTGGGTTTGCACTGAAGACGTCATCCTTGTATTGCATAACAAGTGAAGTATAGGGATCAGCTAGATTCTTCAAAATAGCCAACCCTCTGCGTGACTCCATACGCTGTCTAATTTGCTCGAGAACAAAGTTATCCATAAGTAAGAATGATCATAATCCCGCTGAGTCAACCATCGACTGTTGATCACGACCTCAAGTGCGATGACATTGCGGAGGTCGTGAAGGAAGTCGTCGTTAATGACTTTTTTTTAGCTCCGCTAGCTCTTCCGTCATCGGCAACGGTGCCAAAAACTCATCTGTTCTGGCTACTTCATAGCTTGTTATTGCATCCACAACAATATCCGCATGCTATATTTCCATATTTGGGAGTAGTACGCTGGACTAATTTACCCTCGTAATCAAACGCATCCAGAGCGGGAGAATCACTACCTCGATCAGCAAGTTTCGTTGACATCTTCACATGTGTGCTCAACAATGCAACAGGTGAGTGCATCAACTTTGTGGTCATCTGTACCACCGACCAACAATCCGACTCAACTGCTGTATAATTGGGATTATTGGCATATCCAGCCACATTCGCTTCCTACGATTTTCCATTACACACGTGTTGATAACATTCGGCTACCTTAAAGAGGGCAACCATCGTCATCTCTATCTCATATTTTTTCCGTTGAGCAATCGCTATGCCTGACAACGATACATTCGGTTTTTAGCGACTAATTCCGGGCAATACTCGGTCTATCGACACACTTTCTGAGTGACCGCTTCATACAACTCTATTTGTCCCCTAACCTGAGGAAATGTCATTCACATGATAAATACCAATGAAGTGTGGATCATTTCCAGCAGCATAACTGCCGAGCGCTGCTTCTGGTGCATATTGAATGTGGGTTCATTTCTCCCAAGAGATGCACCTACGTCAGGCGAGCTGCTCCCAATCGTTTCCGATCGCCAATCAATTCACGGCTTATGCTTCTCAAGCCATGATATGCCTAAAATTAGGTATACCGTTTGTCCAACTCGAGGACTGGTTCTTCCTTCGACATGAAGTCTTCAAACTTCAGTTCAAGGTCGACCATATTTTTTTTCGCGGTGACCACCGCACCAGTGGCCAACTTATATGGGGTAAAGCTATTGCTTCATTTTAGTGCATCCAGAAGCACTGGATCATTTCCAGAAATACCTCGCTACTGCGCGTAGTGATTCGATGCGCCGGACTTTGAACGGACGACCGTAACCCTTAACATTCGCTGTGACCACGAGAAGACCACTCCGATTTGTGTCGTTAAGGACGAACAACGACTCTCTGAGGGCTGAACCATTATGAGTGGCTCTACCACCACACTCACAAAAGCTTATAATTGCTCCAGTAGACTGCCCTGCATCTATTGGGTCCCGACGTTCCCAGATATTGGTACCATGTGACTTGGAAACATTCCGTCTCTCACGTAGACAATCACGATGGATGTGATCGAATTGCTGACATATGCAAAAGCAAACTTGCTGCCCGCGGACAGTCGCCGCGCTAAGGTCCATTGATTTGTTATTTCCGATAAAAGCAGTCACAGCTTTCATCGGATTGACCGATTAGTTACATGCTTCACGCTGACAGCAGTTCTTACGCAATGCAATTATTACTGCATCTTCCAGAGTTGTTCGGCACTAGTTGAAATATTTAGTCTCAGGGGAGTCATAAGTAAGTCACTTCCTAAACATGGAGTTCATCACTGCCTCTGACAGTGGTTCAGTTGCCATACTGGCACGAAGCTCACAGAGCTTCTGTACATAGTCGTACAATGTGCCTTTGTCTTGACGGCATCATGACCGTTGTCAAAATGCCACATTCGGTTAAAAACACCGATTTCATGACATTCTTCAACTCTTGCCATGTGGATGATTAGCCAAGACAGTAAAACTCCCACGTTATTACCCAATCCTCCGCACGGCCATCCGAATGCGACATAGCAAAGGTCACTTGACTATTGTCATCACGAATTTGGACCATCGTGCAATGACGATAAAATCTTGCTTTTAACAGGTCCTCCCGTGAGTACCAACGTTGTCACCAGCGCTTGTGGGGAGGTGACGAGACTGGCTCGGTATGTACTGTGATAGAAATTCTAATGGTCCTTGCTCATATGGAGCGAAATATGCTAAGCATTGCTTTATCGCCTCATGATTCAATTGGAGTATACCGGAGACCGAGTGATCTACGATTAAAGCGCAGCTTCACTACACTAACCCATTGCGAGTGTCCTAGGAACGAATATTCCTCCATGTTGATACTAGGACGACCGCCGCCTGTATTGTCCGCATTATCCATCGGTAAATTTATCCAAGTAGTCGGGGTTGAATGACAACTTGTGCTACCAAGTGTAATGGAATTTGCCCGTCCGTGTATACACACTTGATGACAAAAGCTTAAGTCAGCTGCCCGCCCCACAACGTGTTGCTCGCCTCGAGCGGGTCATTGACATACGTAAAGATGAGAAAAGGTGAAGTGACATTTATTACTATGCCAATATGCTTTACCATCCCTAACATGAGAAGTACCTTAAGGTCTGATACAACATAGCTGAAAGGGATATACAACAATACAGGGTATTCAGTTAATGTGAGACACAGAGTATGTGGTCCACACCCCTCGTGTAATGGGACCTGGCCCATTACACAAGCAAGTTCAACTCATACTTTACATATATTAAATCCGACGCTTGAGTAGTGCAAGCATTGGACCCTTGATCAGCAATCCACAGTACGTTTTGCCTTCTAAGAAATACTGGGAATTGTGGAATGGGTCATAGTGGTCCACATTTTTGTTATATTGATTGGAGCGGGCAATTAACGTCACGTCTCCGATCAGCGCATAAACCTACAAAGATAGGATTGGATCTTCGCGGCCCTTGTACAGAGGTTACGAAGACAGATGCGTTACTGAATGAAATAAATAGCTTTTGTTATGTAGCAAGAGAAGACAATAAACAAAATTCATAGTGTGTATGAGGAAAAAACTTATACATGTCGTACTCCCTGTTCATACTGCCGATGACAAGTATGTCTGGTTTGTTAGATAAATCGTACGCGGATGGATAAAGTGCGTCTCGTATGGAGTTTGATACTTGGGGTCCTTTCCATGAAGCTCCACCACAAGTTAAATGAAGCACTATTGTACAAAAAGCTCAAGGGTAAGGAATTGTGACCCGCACAGCCGACCATTTTGATAGCGCGGCATCTGAGCTCAAATGTTATCACTAGTTTTCAGCAACGCTTCAACACGCTTTATGTACATGCACGTATCACCATATCAATGCGCGACGTCATCATCGTGACATGCACCAATTTATTGCCAGACCAATGCCAAAGTGTGTCCATCACCATATTTAGCTGGTCTGGCTCTATAATTTGCGCCTGAGGAGAATTCTAGCCATCCTACCGTGCCCTGTGAAAAACGTGACAACGACGTCGCTGTGCGCAACGGTGCAATACCTATAATAATTATAAATGTTTAAGCGCCAATACGATGTACTCTGGACCCGGCATGAGCATGAAGCTACAATAAATTCAGTACAGGAAACGGATATGAATGAAATAATATGTTGCCCTCAAACGTAGAGTGTAAGTTACAAGACCATAAACAAATACCGGGCCGATTTAGCGAGTTCCGCGAAAAGATACGCACACTTTGTTCAATTAGAAATAAAGATGCCTTAGGCAAAGCGTCATTATTCAGGACTCACACCCAAGAATTACAATATTCCGGCAATTAACAGGAACAGAAATTAAACGTAGACGCGTTGAATGCTCGCTTTTGCAGTTTCCACGGTGTTTATATATATGGCTGCCGCCATGCATCATTCATGAATCTGTTTGTTTGCGGCAGAGCCGCCATTTTTTAAAAAAATCTAACCAATGAGTAAATCCTGAACAATATACATGACTACCGGCGTAGTGACTTCTTGTTAAGGAGTAGACACACCATTGTGTGACTACACCTGCTTGTGCAATCCACACCTTTGTACGGTCGCACCATCTTGTGTGGCCCGCCCTTTCAAACCAGGGTACGTGTAACCCCGTTACATCTACAATATATATAGTCTTCATTTTGATCAGAGATCCACACACTTTTGTCGTTTAAGGGACGCGTACGACAGCCGTGCAAGAAGAGTAACCCTCCACGTAAAGCTACCTAAGCGCAAGATGGCGTGTAACCAGCTGTTCTGTCACATCTGATAGCTCTTCGTGGTCAATTCACCGCCGATATGGAAGGTGTCTGATCACAGCTACTAGACTTACGTCACAGTCTAGCGGTTACCGTTAGACCGCTTCAACTATTCGTATTATCCGAAAGGGGAACTAGTTTGTGAAACCACCATCAAATTGTTACTTCACGACTAAGATGTGATCAAGGAGCACGTCCACTTCTTAATGGCTTATAAAGCCGATCTTGTTGAACGAGTCAGAAAAAAATTCACAAGTTCTCTTACGTTGGAGCCTCTCATCATGGAATACATGGTGCATCGTGTTGCCCAGTCGCTCCCAACTCCACCGACCACGTGAAGACTTCATCATTCCCACGTGGCGTAGCTGTGCTGGTTTACAATTAAAGCAAAAGGTCGCCTTTGCGTTTTCGCATATGCAAGATGCTGCAATGAATTGGCTTTCACGTGGAAAGAACATCTTTGCCATCGATTCTCCAAGAATCGAGGCAAAGATGCTTCTTCCAATGAATGCGGCGCTTAAACATCGTCCGACGTTTTTGAAGTGTCGCCAGGGCAAACGCTCGATCCACCGCTTCGTAAAAGTACTTCGCAAATTGCGTGCGTTATTGATTCCGAAAGACGTGTTGGAGGGACTCGGGATCGGACCTCCAAAGACTGAGTATTTTGTCGACCACCAACCAAGCTTGAAAATTCAATCTTCGTTGCCCCTTACAATGATCAGCATCAGCGACGATCGCGTGGTTTATCCACTCGTCCCACCGACATGCACCCGCCGTCAAGTGGCGGTCCTGAACCCATGGCCCAGTCTGCATTTTATCGTCTACAGGTGTTGTGGCCGAGTAGGCCACTTCGAACGGGACTGCCTCATGAAGATTAATGGGTACAAACCCACTGGTGTATTACCGGATTACTCTATTCGTAGTTGAGGGGGATAGCGGGATGCCAGTCGCCTGGTGGCCGTTGCCGTTCAGCCGATATCCGCAGCGATCGAGGAGGCCCATCGCTCAACATCGTCAATTTTGGTACACAGACATAGTAGGCGCGGGGCGGGCTACTGGCGTAGAACCGACGACATTTTACTGCACTACTTTTGTGCATGGGAAGCCGTTGGCATTGACAAAATTCTGACTTCCCACGAATATGGAGAGGAGGGATGCCTTTTCGTTGTTTTGGCAAAGATGAAGGGGGTTGGAAGACCCATCAGAGTTGTTATTGACGTTGGAGCGTCAACTTATTACGCTCGGACAAGAAGTATTGCGGAATATTCACGTCTCTTCGATGACTTATGTGCGAAGAATAATGGTAACATACATGTCCATTTTGCGACGGGTGCGATTATTTCACAACAGAAGATTAAACTCGATCTACGAGTCAAATCCTCGAACTTTGACTTCAAATTGACGTTTACCCTCATCAACACGGAAGATCATTATGATCTTATACAAGGTATGAGTGGTTCAACGACCATGAATAATGGATTGACTGGAGAACCAGGCAGATTTCGAGTAGCTCGCTGGTTGGAAATCACAAATGCCCGTCTGTAGGTATATAGTTGTGAATCCACAAGTCTCCAAGAAGGTGCGGTTAGTAATTAATGCTCCTGTGATCCGAGGATTGAATCCGTCGTGGAAGCTGATTACGCTCCAGTAGCAAAGAGAAAGCTCTTGCTCCGATTGTAAAGTCTATCGTTGAAGCCCGCTATACTCCAGTAGAATCATCTACCGTGAAAGCCAGTGCTCCGGTTGATGATGTTACCATGGAAGCGCATTATGCTCCAGTAAGTGAATCTGCTGTAAAAGCAACAGCCCAATAGCTAAAGCTATCGTGGAAGTACCGTACCGTATACTCCGGTAGAGAGCACTACTGAGGAGAGTAAGACAATAGAAGGTTACGCTACTGTGCGAGCAGTCATGCTCCGACAGTACGAACTTTCAGCAAAAGCTCCAGTAGATAAATTACTGTGTATACTAACCACTATACTAACGAGAACCGTCACGCACATAAGCACCAAATATTGTACATACATCACGCATCGTACTTACAGATCTTCACACACACTTAGGAATACATCTCTGCTGCTACACAATTATTTGCGGTTAATATTTTGCATGTTTTACTGACAAAAACTTGCACACGAAACGATATCAGTCAATGTTAGCAGTTTTCGTAGATAATCTACGAAGTTCACATTTGGGAAAGTGCAGATGCTAACTGATTTATCACAGTAACGCGCTGGACGATGAAGCGAGATCGATCTCTATTAGGAGCCCACAAGTCAAATTACAACGCTCTGGTAGGCGTTCTGACGAGAAAACTATCGCTTTCGCAACCGAATTTTCGGTGAATTCTATTGCACGGAAGCACAAATTTAGGTTGTGAACGCATTGACAGAAAACCCGTTTAGGCTTCTACGGTCGTACTGCCAGAAATATCTGCACTTACGAGCCTGGAAGAACACCCCGTTCCCTAGGTTTCTTGAAGACCTCAAGAATGGTGCGCTCGCCGACGTCGTTATGATTCGTCGTACAACCGCAGCATCAGAAGAGATTAATACGTCCTTTGGCTCGGAACCAAGTGTCGTTGAAGTTTTTTTGACAGCGGTTTAAACCGCGACGCGGATGAACTTTTCCCAAGAATCCGCGTCATTCTTATATTACCCTTTTGTCCAAGTACACGTCAGCATTTTTAAGTCCGAATCCCATTCGGCCGCCATATCGTGGTATATTAGATGAGATCGAGATGAAGCAAGGTGCAGGATATCTGCTATGGCGTCAGTGGCCCTTGCCAGTCCAAGTTTATAGACTCGTTCTTTGCTGCTAAACAACAACAGGAGTGGGTGAGAGGGAGTAAATCCCCCCACAGTACCCCAACGTGTTGCATTCGCAAACCCAATGACAAACGGGCGGATTGCATACGCATACAAAAGTTGAGCGCCAAAACTGTGCCAGCACGAACCTTTGTTTCATGCGATGCCATTATCATCAAGATGACTGGCTCAACACTCTTTAGCGTATTTGATCTAGTAGATGGATACTCAAGTTTGAATATATCCTTTATCGATTTCGTATACGGCAGAGAGCATTGCTATGGCAGTGGCTTGTGATACCGCAAAGTTTATTCAATGCGCCAGCGACGTTTAACCGTCCCGTCACGCATTTTTTCCATTCACTGAGATTGTTCCGTCGACGTATTTCGACGACATTTTTGTTTATTCGAAACCTAATCTATCGATCAAGTTTTCTTCGAACACCTGGAACAGGTATTGGCGTGTATGACAGAACATTAGCTATTTTTCAGCATTGACAAATGTATATTTGGCGCAGAAGAAGCACCAGTTCTTTTTTTTCCTCCTCGGTGTCGAAAGTGATCAGCCAGTCTCAGCGAAGATCACAGCGATCTGGTGACACCAACGGACTAGAAGGATGTGAGGAAATGATTGTGTTTGGCCAAGTATCGCCATCGGTATACCAAGTATTATGCCTACATGGCACGCCCGTTATCGGACTTGTTGAAGAAGGATCAAGAGTGGTCATAGACAAATTAGTGTGCTGTCGCTTTCGACGATGTCAAGCACAGCTTGCAGGCAGTGCACATTTTGGCATTACCAAACGACAATTTACCGACAGTGTCGTGTGCGACGTCTCCAACTCCGCGATTGGAATTATAATGTCACAGCATGATGTTAATGGACAGAAACGTGTCATCTCGTATCAGTCGAGGTAGCTAAGCGAAATCACCCAGTTCACAGCAAAGAATTATTAGCAATGGACAATGCTGTGAAGACAGATTATTGTAGTACCAAGTATATGGAAGAGATGACTATTGGGTTGTTGTACTAGAAAACGAAGACTTGAAGCACTCATTCGTGCATGAAGTACACGATCTACCCATCACAGGTTATCTTAGTCGAAAAAGACTAATGCAGAGATTGCATACCACTTTTGGTGACCCAATGTAGACGCTTGGGTTGAGAAGTATCTTTGTCCGCGTGACGTATGTCAGCGTGTGAAGCCTTCCCCATCTCGTCAGGCTCCATTGCAGAGTCTGCTAGTACCAGCAGATTGCCGGCGGTGCGTCAGTTTGGACTCTTACGCATATTGGCGTTTTGGCCTTTGTAGACTGTTCGAGTAAGATGTCGTACCCCGCACCAACGGTTGGTTATCTTACTGGGAACGAAGCGCGCGATGATATATCGATCATGTCTTTCGACATCATGGATTACCAAAGTCAATTACTGCGCGCTTTACAGCAGACTTTTGGTCAAGCTTATTTCGTATATTCGGCACTCGCTTAAAAATGGCCGTCAAGGACCATCTAGAGACCGATGATTAAATGAGCGCGCGGATTGCGTTGTAGAAGCCACTCTACGCAGCATTGTTTATCGTCGCTGACGACATGAAGTGCTATGCTCCCAATGGTCGAGTTTGCCATCAACAATGCGGTCCATGCATTAACCAGCTTTACTTTATTTTACAATAGTGGCCTTTGCCGTCCAGCGCTGCCTCTTGTATGTTTGAAGGACACGAAACCTTCTGGTGAGGGAGGGGCTAGGCAAGCGTTTGCTTCCCAACTCACTTCGATTGACAAGCTTCGAATTCGTCTATTCATTGACAAGTTCATGACCAAAAGAGCAAATGCTGTATCACGACCGTGGTAAAAGCGCAAATTTTAGAGAAACCAATGCTGATACGCATGGACGTGGAATTTCACATGTATTCAAACAGGGTGATTATATTGTAGTAAGTACGAAGAACATAGCTAACGCTGCCGTCTCTAGTATATGATCTTCCAAGCTCTATCTCCGATTCACCGGTCGCTTCAAGGTCTTGAAAAGCGCCAGAAATAAAAAATATTCGACTTACCAGGCTGAATCCGTATCGATCCAACGTTTTCCTTAGCTTGCTCAAGCGATACCTTTGTGATTCTTCTTATCGTACGGATTGGACGACCGAGGTTGATCATATTCCGGTGACCGAGATCTTGAACGAAGGTGAACGCGACGTTGAAGCCCAAGAGTCGAATCACTTTGAGCCATAACACTCTGATGTTGATGAATTTCGTCACGAAGACGTTGATTCACTGCCTGGAGCCTAGCGGATTCCGTCCACAGTGCAGACATTGCTGCGTGAACGCTCACCTCCACATGGCAAACTTCAGCCCACAGTGATTCCGTCGCCTTCGATATTTGATGGCCCATCTCGCTATTGCGTTCGCACTTGCATCCGAAGCTGCTTCAACTTCGTCCAGAGGCGTTGTTTCGTCCCTCATCTGCAGGTGTAGCACCGACGGAAATGTCCTCAACGACACCGCGGTCGATTGTTCAACCACTGATGATTCTTTTGTCGGTGGTAGACCGAGACGGGGTTACCCACTTTCATGTAAAAGATTGTGTCGGCACGCCGATTCCGTGGGGAGATACAGCTCATGTGATAATGTTAGCGAGTTCATGAGCCCAAAAGCTAAAAAACTCTCGCATATCCGAATTCCAATAGCTCGTGTGAGCCACATTCGCATCTCCTTGCTAATTGCTGTGACGCAGTCCGTAAGTAGGAAGGAGCCAAAACGAAAGAAAAACTTTGTCTCATCGATGGGATCCATCCATCGGAGTCGACGACGACAAATACAGCGACGATGCAGATGGTGAATACTTTACCGAGTCTGCACGACATTCTGCTTCTACCTGTCCCTCGCATACGAGTTTCGCATATCGAAAACGTATATCGCGCACCTTGACGATCGCCTAATAACGACAAAGGATTTGTCCGTCGGGTTTGCGTAATTATTCGATCGCAATCGACTTGGTGTTGAGCACCAACTTCCAGAATTCTCTGGCGATATCGTTGGGCGACTACGCTGGTCGTATTTGCTCCCATGGTACTCCACGTACATTTTAGTACGGATTGCGCGCGACGTGATGAAGTGACAGCCATCATCTCCAGAGTTGGATGGTGCAAATAAAAGGCTTAACAGACTCATTCGGATTCACAGACTTTCATGGACAACCTTGTGCGGGGGGGGTCGACCCTTTGTATTTCTCGGCCGAACTAGACGAAACGCAAAGTACATATGCTTCGTACTACTACAAATAAATGAATTGCGGCGAGTGCGGGGTCAGAAGATATTATTCTTTCCTTAGCCCAGCTAGTGTCCGACACTTCTTCTGCGCTTGTAATGCTACTAGTTTATGTTCGGCTTATATATTAACAAAATCTAAATACATACATAACTACTGGCTACCTTACCACATACGGTATTCTTGTTTGGGTGCAGTCACACCATGCCCATCTCGTGTGACACACACTCCTGTACCCCAGGGTACGTGAAACCCCATTACAAAAAATCTACACACAATTCTTTGAGGTATTACATAACTAGCGCACGTCTCACGAACCTCTTCATAATGATGTTAAGTCATCCTCGTTTGGAGCAGTCCTTAGATTAGATGAGCTTTAATTCAGGTCCGATAAGAATAGTGTAATTTGCGTGTACTCCGCAACGGCATGACTTGTGCATGTACAGCGCACACATTTGGTACAGGTGCAATAAATACAATACTGTACTATCCTCTGAGCTTACGACACTCGAAGTAGAAAAAGTCCTTAATACACGTGACTGCGAGTCGCACGAAAAGCCATAGACAATATTACTGTGCAAGATAATCATATTTTGTATTTGTCGACTCGTCACGGTAAAAGATCCTTGGTAGGAGCGTATAAACCAAAACTTTGAGTGTTTGTTAACGCGAATCGTGAGTGGCTACCCTGCTGTGTACACAATAAAAGTTTACATGTTTAAAAACGCGTTGGTTAGTTTAGTGACATACATATGATCAGTGTAGTGGATCGCAATCCGCTACTTCTAAATATTAATATTAAAGCCTTGATCAAGGCTACCAACACTTCTGAAAAAAAACGAAATGTTTTTGATTGTTTTAGTGGCTGCAGAGCCGCCAATATCTAAAACACAGGTTTTCTTGATGAATATAGTTATACCTAATTGATAACACCACTGTGTTGTTACATCAACTGTGTAATACACACCTATGTACGGTCGCACAAAATTGTGCGACCCGTCCTTTCTAATAAGGGCGCGTGAAACCCCGCACAGTAACTGTGAGGTCTTATTGTTACCGCTCGTTTCTGAATCATTAGCTGTTGAATTTATTCTTTCGTAAGACGTCTCCCGCGGAGCTGAACGTCCCAGTATTGCCTATTACGATGATACCTCTGCCACAATATAATACATAATAAACATACGAATTACTAACTCTATCGATTGGAATCAACCCATATAGACTAGGCATGTAGATAGATGTCTCTTACCCAGCATCAGTATTTTTTCAACGGGCTCACAAAGTTTAGTACAAAGTTCGTTATTTTTAGACGTGCATGACATGCAAGTACACTCAAGTATGGAGATCTTCACCACGGCGAAGCGAAGTACGACAATCTCATATTCAAATATGATTTAATCTCTTTATGGTTTGACAATAAACGGTCCGAATCGAGAAATAGCTTCGGTAATTTTGCGCAGAGTACATTTTGTTTACGCCGTATCATACATGTATATAAACCTTTACAACCAGCAAGGACGCATCTATGTAATACCCGTCTACAGCCGAGTATACGCTGTAGATGTTGCTATAAATATCAATTATTTAATGATTAGATGAGCATGGCGAACTAAGGACCTTCAATATATATACTTTGCATTTTGCCATCTAGTGCTTAAGTGCCTTTTTATCTGTACGAGTTCAGTTTATACTTTTAGTGATTTGTCGGTTACGTAATAACTACGCGATGAACAGTTAAGAGTAGGCGTCGGCTATAATGCCATTCAAACAGCAAGGAAACATCTTTCTACACGCAGCATAATATTGCCTTGGATGTCCCTTCTTTATCTCCGACAATAAGTCTAGCCGAACTAGAGGAAATATTTATATAAGATTAGTTGGATAGTTTTTTTCTGTCGCTTCCAACACCTGACACCCAAAGGCATTAACGCGTCAGTAGAATGGTCGTTTCAAGTTCGAAAGAGCCGAACTTGAGGTGGCTGATAGCTTATAGCACAGCCTTAAAGGCCTACTTTCTTACCGCACCCCAGCACTATGTGAAACTTTTTCACGATGATCGTGCCATGTTGGCGTTATTCGTACTATACTTGTGTGAGAAAGTGGCTAATCCAAACCTGCTCCTCTATTCTCATTGAAACACAACGACTCTGGCATATTTACGATGTCCTTAATTTACGCGGGATCGCCTTAAGCGATGTTCACAATGAAGCGTCCCATACGTGAGGATTCGTTCGAATTTATTTCTGCTAGCAAACAACTTGTTAAAACGCAAACATTGGGGCACGTCCCTCAGATGCTTAATGATGGCGCTCACTTCCGACTCGTTTTGACCTACAAGACTATGGACATGTACATCGACGAATTAGATATGTATCGGTAAATTGTGACCTAAACAGCTGCAATAGGAGACGGTGAAACGTGTCTTGCGCGTTAAATAAATCTATGCTATTCTGATTCGGCTCTCTGTCATCAGACCCTAAGATCGTAAAATTCGGTCGCCCTTATTCGTTCAACCAAATCAAGTGCATGATTTCCATGCCATAACGTCGCTAGTATTCCGTCTTTTAGCTAAGGTATACTGTGGTGACAGCAAGTAAAGAGCTCTACTTCTCCTCTCTTCATGAAGCTCACCTAGCTTAAAGCACTTAGCAGTATCATTGCTACGATTTCATGTCTTGCAGCGAAGCAATTGCAGCTTTATACCTGCGTCAAAAGTACTCAGACTTTTAGCAGTGTAAACTTTATGACTAACCAAAGCTTTACCAGGAACGAAGTAGGTGGTTACTTAAATTTCGACTTTTGCTCGAACTATGTCGCATTGTAGGATAAAATTGTATCTCAAATCAAGGACTTCGACCATACAGCGTTTTACGCTGCCAAAATCTTCAGAATGTACAGAAGGGTGATCTTTTTGACTTGATCAGGTACGAGGAATCGTATCAGTAGGCGGCGTTATCAATGTCTTCACATATTTTTATTTCTTGACAGTCGCGCAGTGTACGTGATTTCACAACACCTTGGAGTCCATCAGAGCAGAAAATGGCTCAACAATGTCCAGGAGATTGATGCTGACTGTTTACTACCCCTGGATGTGAGCCCCGCCAATTATAAACGAGTCGCCTCTCTGAAAGATGAGATTTTTGCCTCGACCTCCGCGACGTAAAATAGATCCCTATACCTTCCCCATAGACTCAGAATATTTTGCTTGGCCTAGGATTCCCCGTGAGAGATGGACCTCCATTCATCTCAACCAAGATAAGGGGGCGCAGAGGGCGCAATGGTAGGATTTACCACCTGTAAGTACCACAAAGCTGCTCGGCAGATGAGAGGCCATCACTTTCATTCTTTACAGATTGGGTAAGGTCCATCGCTGCTTATTTGGTCGTAGAGCTTCTATCTCCGTACTACAATAAGCCCTTCAACAACAAAATCTAAGCTCAGTATCTAGTGCGATAAATACATCTTTCATAAAAAAGGGTGTTTGGGCTCGACAGGGCTCAGTTCAAGCCCCAATTGTCCAAAGACCTTCCATGAAACTGGCTATTGCTACTGCCCCGGAGATGATCTGGCACCATCGCAATTCTCAACAGCTGCACATAATTCACAAATTTTTGCCACTCTTGCCGGGTGAGCAAGAATTAGATTACCCTGGGAGGGCGGTGCAATCTCTTGCAATATTGTCGCTGCATTACTATTAATGGCGAGAACGCCATTTCCACCAAAGTACTGCACATTAATGCTTATTCTCGCGCGCGATATCTATGCCTGTAGCCCACAAATGCGACTGGCTAATGCGCTGTTTCAAGCATCGCCAATTTCGATTTTACATCTACATCATTAGTATTGAAATATACAAATTTTACATCCCGGGTCAGCAACAGCGGCCTTACGTTGATGGCTATTTACGCCATGATGAGGCGTTTTAAAAGCGCGCGTCATAACATTTAAGCTGCTAATATATATGAGGCGAGCGATTACCGCTTCTGACCACTGAATTGCTCACTGCGCTCTCTCTTCGAGATAAACTAATGACAGAAACGAATCTCCTAATGAGATCAGATTTTTTAAAAAAGCCCCGTTATTAATTACAATTTAACACAGTCTAAATTCTCAAATTGACGACAACTCCAAAAAGGTTGCTGTGCACCTCTCACCAAAGTGGCTTTGACCTAAATAATTGCATGAGCAAGCTACAGAAAATGAATTTGTTCACTTCACCCAGTAGCGAACTCGAGATCCTGAGGCTGTTAAGTTCAATGTTAAGTATGTATATCTTAATACACATGCCGTTCAAAAGAGCATAGAAATGCGCAGCCTTACTCCCGCAGTTGCAGGATGTGCCTTGGATTGATCACGTGGATTGGCACATTGGCTATGTCTTTGACAACAATCTCTTAGCAAGAACTGTCGAGGGGGTCACAGGAGCTAGTACGTCTGATTTAAATTAGTTTGTGATAGAAGTCATGTTGTATTCAAAACATTGTATGACAATCTCAACCGTAGGCTTATTTGGCGACAACGAGTTCATTAAGAGATGTGCGGTCATGCAACGATCGTGGCTGCAAAAAGCTGTAGTAGAGCGCTTTGTGTGTGTCTTGGATTCTCGCGTGGGCTCATAGTATTCGTCTTGGCTGCCGCTATAATGCTACTATTACGGCAAAGAGAGAGCTGATGCTGCCATAAAGGAATGGTCAGAGCTCCAATGATTTAAATTAATCGCAAAAGATCTGACTTACCGCATGCTTGAAGTTTTCCTGACACCGGCGTCGCGCTACGTCAGGCTTTATCTACGGATGGTGACGAACGAAAAAGGTACAAGAATTTCCGCTGCAAGTAGTCGGAGCGCCAATGTATGTGATCTTGGCGCGATGTCATCGTTCAAAGTTTTTGCCATAATTGGCGATTGGATTGCAAGCCGCGTTTCATGTTAGTGCTGGTGCAAAGGCTGCAATGCTCAGTGTAATCGGTCCGATGCACGAACGAGCATTGGATACGATAAGTATGCTGATTCATTTCATCTTCACGATAAACTTTGATAGAAAACACATGTTCGTGAAGAGGCAGGATGTTATGGAAACCGATTTGATGCATCGAATCAACTTATCGCAGAGTGACTCGTTGTAGGATCTGAAAGTCGTGCTCCACCTGGGGCATATACCTACCTCATTAGGTGGTATTTCTACACAATTTTACCCTATTCGCAGTGGCAATATCAGGATCGCAAAGTTGAGTCTTGTGAGTAATGTTTTTGATAATATGGATTAGATCGTCAGCATTGGCTATTTCAAGGTACGAAACCATATCACGGCTTCGTGACTGTGCTCACTCGATCTTGGTAAGATCAATCTGGAAAAAGGATCTCCTGCGTTCAAGTTGTTTCTTACGTTTTTACTGCTCATGATTAGATCATGAACACAATACTTTAGTCAAAAAGAGAGCGTGAAGCCCAGTCATCGCTAATTTATGCTCCGGATTGCCAATACTGTGCGAGTTTAGTCAATCAGCCCTTCCGGTGAAGACAATAAAAAGTAGTTGCGTATGCTTTTGGTATGTTCGTCTTTATGAGGCCACTTTCCTTGCAGGAATGTTTTGGAATTCATTTTAAGCATTTGAAGACTATTGCATTGAGTCAAGTTTTTCTCCCGCAACTTTTTCAAGCTGAATAGCTGCATATATACACATCACTAAACTTGTCGTCGCAAAATCAGTCAACGCGTTGCTTGACATGTAACTTAGATTATGGTGTATGCGGTGAAGTTGCTATACACGAGTCCATGTTAATAAACGCACGAAGGTATGGTTAGCACGCTCAGCGCTTTTGATCACGCTTCGTAGCTGCGAGAAATCTTTGGCAGCCATGAGAAACATGGGTTCTGGATGTATTGATGCACTCCATTCTTCGTTAGCTGAATGATTACGGTTGCGAAATAAAGGCGTTGTCCCGTTTGATGAAGTAGCCGATGCTGACGAGTGTAACCGCTCATTATTCACAAAACTAACACGACAAGGCCTTGATTAAGCCATCGTGACATTAGCGTGACAGTTAGTCGCCTGAAAGATGCACGCGTTGAGGTAAGTCTTGTTGTCGAATCCGCACACAGGGGCGTAGTCATCATCGCATAGTGCGACAGTACCCGATACATCATTGTGATGAAAAACGATAGCGTTTTCGTGATGATTATCAACCACAGAGACAGTATCTCAAGATGACGTGACAGTCACAGCAGCAAACGTCAAAGTGACAGAAATCTTCATGCTCAGGTTTGTCGGAGGAAATGGAGTTGGGGGGAAGACCTCAGGAGAAGATCATGTCAATCTGCGACTTTTTGTGCTTTAAGATGCTTAGAGATATAAGCACCTTGTGATATTTAGATGTTGCAGCCTATCACTTTGGTAAGGAGTTGAAATGCTGCGAGTATGTACGCTCTTTGTATGCTGGAAAGAGGCAGTCAAGACACTCGTGTTCGTTTTTAAGCCCGTAATGCCAGTAAGGCGCATGCAGCCTCTGTGGCTATCATGGAATGATAAAACTTTGACGTTTGAAATTGTACGCTGCAAGATTTTGCTACCACAAAATGAGTTGCCATGACTGCAATGAGAATAGACGGTAATTTCTGTCATACGTCTTTAACGTTTACATAGTAATCTACCCTATGTAATCAAAATTTTGAGACACAAAGCCGTCTTTGAAGATAGCCAGAAAGAGAGAGGTAGTGTGCAAGATATTTTGCCTCTTCTAATTCAAGTAATAAGCATCCACGTTTTGGACTTTTTTCTATCATCGTATTGGAAAAGTGACATTAAGATTCAAGTTCGAAAAATTTTAAGTTGAGAAAATTAATCTATCTATCAGCTGAAAGGTCGACGATAGCAGCACAATAGATGGTAAAGTCTCCATGCTCTTTGCATGTTAGTACAGATAATGATTCTTTTATTGCAGTCAAATGCCATGTCCGCTTCAACTTTTGCACGATCTCGGGCTGCGCTTCGTCGCAAGCCAAAGCCAGTTAAGAAAATATTGGATAACGAGGATCTAGAAGAGGTCAAGGAGGCTTTCCGTCTCTTTGATACAACTTCTAGCGGTACCATCGACATGCGAGAGCTCAAAGCTGCTATGCGGGCGCTTGGATTTCAAGTAAAGAAAGCGGAAATCCATCAGATGATTATTGATATTGGTAAGGACGAGTCGGAGACGATCAATTTGAATGAATTTATTGAACTGATGACGGGTAAAATGGTACGTACACAAAGCATCTACTTTATGAAACTCAACTCATCTAAAGACGTTATTTCCTGTCTATTTAGAACTCACGAGATCCACGTGAAGAAATTATGAAGATATTTCAGCTTTTTGACGATGATAACACAGGCAAGATTTCGTTTCGAAACTTAAAGCGTGTGTGTACTGAACTAGGCGAAACATTGACGGATGAAGAAATGCATGAGATGATTGATGAAGCAGATCGCGATGGAGACGGACTGATTAACGAGGAAGAGTTTTTTCGCGTTATGAAAAAGCGTAGTGGGAATCCACTGGACGACCTCAGCGACGACGATTGAGCACTTTGATAGCCTTATAATTACCTTAAAAGAACACAATCCACAGCAGAATGTAGTCGATCAAAATACTTTTCCGTAGATGCATCAGTAAAAAGCTGTGATCTCAAGGCCGCTTATTTATAAATATCGGTGAAAGTTGTCAATTGCTTGTTCGCTTCGCTGCCTACAAGCGATCGCTACATAGATCAGCATTAGGAAATCAATCATATATTAATTGTGATCTAAGTGTCTTGGGCTTGCGACGCAGCGCAGATTGAGACCGTGCAAAAGCTGAAGCAGAAATGGCATTGACTGCAATGATTATCTGTACCATCCGACAAAGAGCAAGGATACTTTACAATTTATTGTGCTCTTTTATCGTCGACCTTTCAGGAACAATTTCCTTACACTAATAGTTTGGGGTGTCTCAATGTTACCTTTTCCAATTCATCTTGCTGATTCTGATAGAAAAAAACAAAGGTGGGATATTATTTTGTGTATACGAACAGAAGGATCACATCCGAAATATCTTGCACATTATCTTTTTCTCTGTCTTTGTTCAAGACAGCTTTGTGTTCTGATGGCGTTAAGCGGATCAACGAAAACGTCAAAGATATATGACAACAAAAAACGTCTTTTACCAAAGCGTTAAGCTGCATCAGCTTGATACTACAGGGTGTTTATCCCAGGTGGTATTCCAGCAGGATCTCTAAAGATCTTATAGCTGAGCTACAAAAGTCGCAGATTGACATGGTCTTCGTCTGAGGTTTTTATTTTTATACTTCCTTACATCCAACAAAACTGAGCATGAAGTTTTCTGTCACTTTCACATTTGTTGCTGTGATTGTCACGTCATCTTGTGTTACTTCCTCTGGGGTCGATAGTCATCACGATAAAGCTATTGTTTTCGTCACGATACATTGCTGTGTACTGACGCACTATGCGATGATAAATACGCTCCTGTGTGCGGTTTTGATAACAAAACTTAACCCAAAGTGCAAAAAATCCTTGGACTGATCGATCATCTTTCGTCAACACTATTGGCTCTTTCACTGGTTCATCCGCATTGATTCGTATTAGGATCCTCATCCTCTTCGATGAAAACTTTAAGATCCATGAAGCTTCCAATTCCAGGAGGTGAAATAGTCATAGGTAGACGTAGGGCTATTTATTATCAGGTCATCAATACTATCAATAGAAGTAATAAATTTATCCGCTCTTCGCACTTAAAGGCACGTTTGGCGATTAGCGGTGTTGCTTCAGCTGGATGAATAAATGAACCCCGTTCTTTGTTATATGGTCGCGAATCGAAGGCATTTTTTCGTTCAAAGAAGTAGCCAATGTTGACGTGTGTACCCACTGGTTATCCACAAACCTAACACACCAAGGCCCTAAAAGAGCCATCGTGATATTAGTGTGGCAATTAGTCACCTGAAAGCTTCCAACTGATTATCAGAGTGGTTATGTATATTATGGCAACAAGTATTACAAAAGGTACTTTTTCTATACTTAGAACAAGAACGAGTGTAGCGGATCGCAATCCACTTACTCCGAGTAACGACAACCTTAATCCACGTCTAATTATTTCTTCCGTTTAAAACTTTGCGATC